TGCTCTTATGAAATTATATTGGCCCCTTTAATCTTTGGTTATACTTCCCTTTTGGGTGTTTAAGGACATACAATTGGACCAGATAAACTGATTTGTTTTTTCTCTTGAGGTCGTTTGAGGATCTGTTCCTCAGGGGTCCCATGGGCTTGGGAGGAGCCCCTGGCTCCTTTCATTTACCAGTTCCATCTATGTGAAGATAAGTCAAAGTTCCTGCTCGACCATTGTTGGCTTCTCTTGGAGAAGTGCTTTTTTTTAGGATGGGAAATTCACTAGTGAGAACTAATTTACTCTAGATATTTAGAAATAAAATTTTCACTGTGGCATATTATCAATGAAGTGCTTTTTTTTAGGATGGGAAATTGACTAGTGAGAACTAATTTACTCTAGATATTTAGAAATAAAATTTTCACTGTGGCATATTATCAATTTTTTCATATCCAGGCTAGCAATATCTCTAAAATTACATCCTGCACCTTCACTTCAGTGGAAGGGTGAAACTAGTGACTCCTTAGGGCAGTTTTAACAGGAAAAAGATTAAAAGGTAAAAAGGTCATTTTCAAGCTTTTATGCAGCACCGTTTACAAGCACCAAAGCATGAAGACATATCTAATCACCAACCGAAGTCTCATGTTCCACAGTCTCTGAGTTTCTCCTACAAATGATTAACCAGTTTTCATAGCTGATCATTTACCCTGGGAGATTAGCATACCTTTTGTAAAGAAATAGGCTCTGGTACCATCTCCTCGGACATAAAAATTTTCAGATAAGCAGTGCCCTAAAAAAAAAAAAAAAAAAGAAAAGGGAAAACTTGATATTTGTTTAAAAATAAAACTCAAAACAATTTGATGTAAGATTCAAAGCATTCTTTAAAACACACGAAAATAACCTCAAACTCAATATACTATTACTTTTAAAAAAAGATTTATTTTTATTATGTGAAAGTGTATGGTTAATATGTGGATATGTGCAGGTGCTCTCAGAAGCCAGAGAAGCCAGAGGTGTCAGATTCCCTGGAGTTGGAGTTACTCACCGGCAGTTGTGAGGCACCAGACATGGATGCCAGAAACCAAACTCAGGTCCTCTGCAAGAGTACTATATACTCTTAACCACTGAGCTACTTCTCTAGTCCTTATTACCTTTCTTAAAACGAAGCTGTGTCTTATCATATCTTCCATAATCTCGAAATAACAACATTCCCCCGGGCTTCAGCAACCTAGATAGTCGGTGGATAACAGCTTGCATCCTTTGGAAAAAAAATATGATACCCTGTATGAGAATATCTTACATGCTAGGGTCAGCCTTCTTAAATACAAAATAAGAAAAGTTCAACAAGCCAGAGAAATCTAAATCATACATCTAACAGCAACAACAACAACAAAAAAGTATTTTGCATAGAAGAAAAAAAAAAAGACGTCAACTTGTTAAATTACCAGATTCAAAGCTGGGCGTGGTGGTTCACGCCTGTAGTCCCAGCACTTAGGAGGCAGAGGCAGGCAGATCTCTGTGAGTTCAAGGCCAGCGTGTTCTACATAGTGAGTTCCAGGACAGCTGGGGCTATAGGGAGACCCTGCTTAAAAAAGACACACACACACACACACACAAAAAAAAAAATTACCAGATTCATGAACTAAAGAGTTTCAAGAAATCAACTGGGAACTTCACAGAGCTTGATGTCAAAGCTTACCTGCAAGTCCACAAATGTTAAATTGGGTGTGATGGTGTATGCCTGTAATCCCAGCACTCTGGAGGTTAAGGCTGGAGACTCATGGGTTCCAGGCCAGCCAGGGCAACCCAAGTACTGGGTCAACCTCAGCTACTAGTGAGACCCTGTCTCAAACAAACCAATCAACCAAAAAACTCACAAATATTTTCTGCAGTTAAGTAAGGAAGGGAGAAAAAGGTAGGGGGGCTTCATTTTTCCTACAAAATCAACCAATATGCCAGAGCTATCCCAAATTGTATAAATCTAAATCATCTTTCTTCCAAGTTAGCTCATTTCTGACTCTCTTCTCTTCTTCTCTCCTTTCCCCTCCCCTCCCCTCCTCCCTCCTTTCCTTTCTGCATATGTTTGTACCTGTAGTGTGCGTGATTATATATATGCAGGTTTGTATGTGTGTGCATGGGGGAGACAAAGTTGATGTCAGGTGCCTTCCACAATTATTCTCCACTTTACCTATTGGGGCAGGGTGTCTTGTGGAACCCAGAGCTCACTAATTCTGGCTAGTCTAGCTAGCCACCTTGCTCCAGGAACCCCACCTCTGCCTCCTGAATGCTGGGATCACAGGAGGCAACTGTGCATGCCCAGCTTTATTATGTGGGTTCTGGGGATTGGAGTGGGGGTCCTCATGCATGTGCAGCAAGCACTTTACCTGCTGAGCCATCTCTCTATCTTCTGATTTATTTATTTCAAAGGTGTCCTTATCCACCTCATAAAGGAGAGATTATTTTTCTTTTCTTCCATAATCCTTCCCATGTGGTCATCAAATTTCTTCCTCTTCTTCCTCTGATACTCTCTCTCTTGTTTCCCACTGGCAGTCTCTCAATCTCTTACCTCCTCAATCCCCAAGGCAGAATTACTTCTTGACATGGTATATTATCCTTCCTGTCAGTCCTCCTTGCATGCTACCAATGAGTTATTTGACTTCAAACAACAGTTCTGTCAAATTATTTCTTTACTCAAAAACTTTCATTTTTAACCCATGGGGCAAATTTTTCTTTCTTAGTAGGGCTCTTAGGATGAATCCTTCCAAAAACTTTTCTACCACTTCCTAACCTAAAGCATCTCTTCCAGTCAAATACTATGACAGGCTGGCCTCTGTGGCCTGAGTCTTAGCTTGCATGGTTTCTTCTCAAAGGAGTCTCTCTTGCTTATTCTTTGCCTGTTTAGATGTCATTCACATCCCAATTCCCAGCAGAATACCAAGAAGTCCTTTTTTTCCTTTTACTATTCATTCTGCTTGAGTAGCATGCAATTAAATACTACCTCTTAAAATAGTTTCTGATTTACTGGTTTTGGTTATGTGTTCATGGCCTGTGCATGATTATGGGCTAGGGACTGAAAGATTCAGGTCTTCAATCATTGCTGAGTGACTGGCACTAGCACCTAGAGATCCACTGGGAAATACTCATGGAGTACATAGGGAATGAAGTCAGAGTACAGAATTGCTTACCAGTCTGCTATGGGAGGGAAGGGAAATGGCAGCCTGTACTCCAAGTCTTTACCGACTGCTTTTGTTTGTTTAATTTTGGTTTTTAAGACACTGCAACCTAGCTGGTCTTGAACTTGCAGTAGTCCTCCTGCCTCAACCTCCTGAATGCTAGGATTACAGGTATGAGTCACCGTGCCCAGCTCTGCCTCTGCTTTATCCAAACTACTATAAGCTGTTGAGGTGTTCCTATTTTTGAAAACTGAGGAGTTTAGATCAGTTAATCAGCAAATTCCTTCAAATTAAAACAATGTTCGGGGATAGCAAGACATCTCAGTAGGCAAAAGCACTTGCTATGAAAACCTGACGACCTGAGTTTGAGCCCTTAAACCCATGTAGAGATGGTAGGAGAGAATCGATTTCACAAAGTTGTCCTCTGACCTCCCACAGGCACATGGTGGTACACCTACACCCACATTATGCACATCAGACACAAACACACACACAATAATAATAATTTAATAATAATAATAATAATAACAACAACAAAAAATCACATCCTAAGAAATACTTAGCAAAATAGTGGAGTGAAATCTAGCTTATGTCGTTTGTGAAGGAAGCAGATGGGAGTAAATGAAAGTAAGAGTGAACGGCGGAGAACTATGACAGGACAGGGTATGATTAGGTGAAGACTTCTTTAAAAATGGGAGCATACAGCAGATAAGAGCACTGACTACTCTTGCAGAAGACCCAGGTTTGATTCCCAGGACCCACAAGGCAGCTAACAAGTGTCCTAACTGCAGTTCCTGGTGATCCGACGCCCTCTTCTGACCCCTGTGGGCATTGCATGACACAGGTGTACTTACACACATGCAGGCAATATACTCATAACACATAAAATAAAAAAAATAAACAAAATATATTTTTAAAAAATGGGAACATAAGTTGAGACTATTGGCCAGTGGTAGACAATGGGCTAGTGTGTATAGCCCTGACTTCCATTCCGAGCACAAGAAAGAAATATCCCAGCACTTGGGAGGAGAGGCAGGTGAATCTCTGTAAGGCTGAGGCCACCTTGGTCTACATAGTGAGTTCTAGGCCAATTAGGGCTACAGGGAGACCCTGTCTCAAATGGACTGGAAAAAAAAAGAGAGGAGGGAAGAAAAGAAAGAAAAAGAAATATACAAGAAAACAAATATACAAGAAAGAAAAGTATTTTTCTTTGTTCATTTTAGGTTATTTTCATGCTGTGCTGTATCTTTGGGCTCTGGCAATAAAAGAAAATCATATCTAACCCTTAAAATACTGACTTCCAAGGTAACCATTTTGTGTACAAAGCAAAAATCTCTGGAATTATCAGTAAACGAAGAATGAAACCAAAATGTAGAAAAATGAAGAACCAAGTACTTGAGAAGGCAGCTCCTTCCTTGTGCAAATCTTTTCCTCACCTGTGCTCTAAGGGCTGGGTGAGAAAAGACAGGGAGTGGGGAGGTGACCTCAGCCTGTCTTTGGTTCTGGATAGTTCCTCAGCTGGTTCCTGGGAGCAGTTGGGGGACCAGACTGGGAATGAAGGGGACAAGCACAGGACCAAGCCTGTCTGAGTTTCTCTTCCTATTGCTATGAGAAAATACTTAGACAAAAGCAACTGAAGAGAGAAAGGGTGCATTCTGGCTTGCATTCCAGGCCACAGTTTATCATGGTAGGGAAATCAAGGAATCAGAAGCTTGAAGCAGTTGCTCCATCCTGTCCACAGTCAGGAAGCAGAGAACTATGGATGCATGTTTGGCTGGCTTTCTCTATCTTGTACAGCCAGGGATGCCCTGCCCAGGGAATGGTCCCCGCCAAAGTCAAGATGGGGCCTTCCCTCATGAATTAATGTAATCAACATAATCCCCTACAGGCATTCCCAGAAGGCCATCTCCCAGGTAATTCTAGATTCTGTCAAGTTGACAATTAACACTAATAACCATCATGGCCCCTTTTTTCTTTTTCTTTCTTTCTTTCTTTCTTTCTTTCTTTCTTTCTTTCTTTCTTTCTTTCTTTCTTTCTTTCCTTTCTAGAGCTTACTATGTAGCTCAAGCTGGCCTTGAATTACCTAATCCTCCTGTCTCAGCCTCCCTAATGCTGGGTTTTAAGCATGAGCCACCACACTCAGCTAAATGTTCTCTTTTTAATGCTACATATTCCTCTCTCTCTCACTCTTTCTCTCCCTCCTTCCTCTCTTTCTTCCTTCTTTCTTTCTTTCTTTCTTTCTTTCTTTCTTTCTTTCTTTCTTCTTTCTTGTACCTGGACTGTTATTCTCACCAGCCCCTGAATGGAGTGAGAGGAAGGGAAAAGAGATAAAAACAAGACAAAACAACAACCAAAAAAGCCCTACCAACTAACTGCACAACAAAAATCCCTCAAGGTTTGTTGACCTCCCACTCTTCTTTCATCTACAGGATGTAGCTTGTACTTTCATTCCAATGACCAGAAAGACAGCCTTCCTCTGTAGTCTCTTATAATTTATTTCCATTTAAGCTGCTACCCCCAGACTCAGGGTGATGGAATCATGTGCCATTTCTGTTTCTGCTGCCAATTAGCTACTTTTCTAGAACCTTCCTGAAGGCAAATCCACAATTATATCCTGAATGATCCTAAAGACACTACTGAATTAGTTGTTATTACCTCTCTTCTACTCTTTCATTTTATTTTTATTTTATCAAAAAAATTTGAGGTGGGGTCACATTATGCTTCCCAGGTTAGTCTGCAATCCCTATGGCTCAGGTGAAGGTCCAGCCTCAACCACCCGAGTGGCTGGGACCATAGGTGTGCAGTACCATAACCAGCTCATTTACCTTAGATCATTTCCATCTAGGTAAAAAAGTGGTATTGACATGATCCACTGGAGTTCATTTTATAATAAACAGAATGAAGCACTGTACTAGAAAAGCAATCTAAGATGCTGCTTCCCCTTCTCATTAACACTGGATTCAAATCATGAGAAAATACATTAGCTAAACCTATCTCAAATAGTTTTTTTGCAGTCTTATTTAGAATTTATACATATCCTATTATGTGCCAAATAGGATGTCTTGCTCTCTACCCACCTACACCATCCTTTAAACTATTCATATGAGGAAACAAGACACAGAGATGGCACCTTTCTACTAGTTCTTTAGTAATGCCAAGAGATGAACAGATTATCAGAAAATAAGCTATAAAATGAAGAGGAAAAATGGCTTAATGGAACAGGATCTACACATCATTTATAAATATAACTTCCTTTTGGATTAATTTGGGAATCAACTTTTCTTTCCTTAAGTAGTCAAAGTGCTTATCTTCGGGAATTAAAAAAACCAACAAATGTTCTAGTGACTTAGCATGTAGGACACAAGTTTCTGTGGGAAAAGGTCACACTCATCAAGCAAAAAAATCTGATCCAGATCTGGGCAGGGCTAAGAAACTTCATAAAAACACCAGCACTGCTGAGCAGGGTAGTGCATGCCTGTAATCCCAGCAACTGAGAGGCTGAGTGAGGCAGGAGGATCGCTGGAAGTTTGAGGTCAGCCTGGCTAGACAGTGAATTCAAGGTCATCATGGGCTACACAGTGAGATTCTCTCAAAAAATAAACAAACAAAACACCAACATCATGCAAACATCAACGTTTAAGTCATATTTGTGAGGGGAGGGGATGGTAGTAGGATGTACAAGACCCTGGGGTTGCTTCTGAGTAACACACACACACACACACACACACACACACACACACACCACATGCACCCATTCATTTATATATGTGCATACAGACATAAAAGAAAACACACCAACACTTACAAATTATGGCCCTTGACCCATAACGGCCCAAGGGTAATCTGGCAAATTAACTATTATTCCTGAGTGGGGTTCTTTAAAACAAAAATTTAAAACCCCATCATCAGACGATGTTCTAAGTCACACAGACAGACCATAGCCCACCTCTTCACAAACATATAAGATGTTAAATCAAAGATGTTTGTTTCTGATCACCAAGTACAATTTCCCTCTTGGGAGTCTATTAGGCTGTTCTGAATTTGTAATTTCCTTGAAGCACTGTCACTTTTAATAGGTATGTGTCTTGCTAGAATATGCTCACTTCATTCTGACAGTGACAGAAAGCTCACTAATGAAGTAGTTTGACCAGCTTCTTTCTTAAAGTGTGAAGAAAGGAAAAACTGCATTTAAAAGGCTGCATATTATACATAATGTACCTCGCTAAATAATAAATTCAAGAATTGTCATTTTTGCTTTGATAGTTCTAAAAACCACGAATGATAAAGGAGCTTTACACATCTGCTTTGCCCTTTCGTCTTCATTTACCTGTCAGGATGAATAGAAGAGAGCACAAAGACAAGGAGAATGACATCTAGGATCCCATCTGGAAAAGGGTAGGGTAAGCCGTCATTGCACACATCATGAACAAAGGCAGAACACTGGGCTGCTCTGTAGGACGTGTGTGACTGTCATGATGAAGGAATAAAAAAACAGAACAGGGAGTTAGCAGACTTCTGGAATTTTTTAAAGAAAAGATCATTTTTAAAAACCCTTTCTCGGACTGGCAAGACGGCTCAGCCAGTAAAAGCACTTGCTGCCAAGCTTGATGACCCAAGTTTGATCCCCAAGACCCACATAGTAGAAGAAGAGAACGGATTCCAACAAGTTGTCCTTTGACCTCTACATGTACACCATTGCACAAAAGCATACACACTAATATATAAAATGTAATAAAAGATTTAAGGGGCTGGAGAGATGGCTCAGTGATTAAGAGGAGCATTCTGTTCTTGCAAAGGCCTTGAGTTTGATTCCCAGAACCCACATGGTGGCTCCCAAACTGTCTATAACTTCAGTTTCAGGGGATCCAGTGACCTCTTCTGACCTCCCCAGGCAATAGGCATGCTCATGGTACACTTACATACATTCAGGCAAATACTCATATACATAAAATAAAAAAATTCAATTAAAACCCTTTCTTCCAAGCATCATTTTCTTATGAATCTGAATGCACTCAATTTCTAGTTTACTATTCTGTTAGCTTATTTCAAGCCACCCGAGAAAGTTAAGCCTAGCAGTTGAACTTGATACCAAATACTCTTCATAATCCCTGTTTCAATTTAGAAGTGGAGTAGAGCATGCTCTGGGTCAGCTGGCAGTGCTGCTGGAGGTCTGCCCTGCACTTCTTCATAGGCACCAAGATGGTCTTGATGTCTCCTGCTGCTCTGATTTTTTCCATGTCTCCTTTGCTTTAAATAACAACTATTGGGGCTGGAGAGATGGCTCAGCAGTTATTGGTTGTTCTTGCAGAAGACCCGGGTTCGAAGCCCAGCACCCACATGGCAGCTAACAACTGTCCATAACTCCAGTCACAGGGGATCCGACAGCCTCTTCTGACCTCCGAGGGCATTGCATGACAAGGGTGAACTTACCTACATGCAGGCAATATATGCATACACATAAAATAAAAATAATAAATAAAATATTAAAAAAGTACATTTTCAAAATTAGATAGCTATGATGTTTACATAACTCTGTAAGTATACTAAAATCCACTGACTTGTATACTTTAGTATGGGATGGCATGTGAACTATTTCAATAGTTATTAAAAAAATAGCATTCCAGTACTACACACACTACTCACAATTTGTTTGCAGAATAAACATCAGAAGGAAACGTATGAACCCATTAATATTGAGTCATTTTAGGAAATGTCATTACAGGTGTCTGCTTCTTTAGGGTTTTTTGTTTGGGGAAATGTTTGCAATAAATATTATCATCATCAAAAATTAAGTTTGAGTGTTTATTTGTTTATTTTGGTCTTTTTGAGACAGGGTCTCCCTGTTGCCACAGCAGGCCTGGATTCATTAAGGAGACCAGGCTGGCATCTAACTCACAGAGATCTACCTGCCTCTGCCTCCCGAATGCTGGGATTACAGGCATGTGCCACCACACCCAGCCCTATTTTTTAATTTTATTTTATAAAAATATTTTATTTATTTATTTTATGTGTATGAGTGAATTCCCTGCATGTGTGTTAGTGTACCTGTGTCATGAAATGCCTGTAGAGGTCAGTAGAGGGCGCTGGATTCCCCTGGCACTGGAGTTATGAAAGGTTGTTAGCTACCATGTGGGTGCTGGAAATCGAACCTAGATCCTCTGAAAGAGCAGCCAATGCTCTTAACTGCTGAGTCATCTCTCTGGCCTCTACTTAATTGTTTAACACACATTTTTGTGTAATTATTTGTTCATGTGCATGCATGTGCACATATACAGGTATGCACACATGTATGAGGCCAGAGGAAAACCTCAACACTCATTTCTCAAGTGCCATCCATCTTGTTTTGGAGACAGGGTATCTCACTGGCCTGGGACTTGTCCAATAGACCAAGCTGGCTGGCCATGAACCCCAGGGATCCATGTGTCTCTGCCTGCCTAGTGCTGAGATTACAAGCATGCACCACCGCACCCAGCTTTTTCCATGTGGGTTCTGGGGTTTTAACAAAGGTCCTCATGGCTATCTCCCCACGTTTTTGTGTTGGTAGAATTTTTTTCCTTTTTCCCAGATTCCCATTTTCATACAGTTTAGGATATTTTAGATTTACATCAAATGGCTTCTCAGATTTTTTTTTTTAATTTCAAAAATGTTAAAGAGTGTGTGCCATGTGCTAGGTTGTGTATAAGGTGTTAGAGACAGATATAAATGGTGGCTCTTTGTGGAGTTTAACTGAAAAATTACAATTAAATAAATAATTAAAATAAACATTTTAATTAAAATAAAAATTAAATCCAGTTTGGGGCAGGTACTTGTTGAAATCTTGACTAAGTTTCCCCTTTGAACTTAAACAATTCATGAACATATATATAGCCTGAATTTTAAAAAAATATTTATTTTTATTTATTTATTTATTTTTGGTCTTTTTGAGACAGGGGCTCCCTGTAGCCTCAGCTGGCCTGGAACTCACTGTGTAGACCAGGCTGGCCTTGAACTCACAGAAATCTACCTACTTCTGCCTCCTGAGTGCTGGGATTTAATTTCATGTGTGTATGTGTATGTGTGTGTGTATGTGTGTATGTGTATTTGTGCATGTGTCTGTATATCTGTGTATGGGTATGTGCATGTCAATACAGGTACCCACAGAGGCCAGAAGAGGATGTTGGATCCCCAGGAGCTGGAGTAATAGACAGTTGTGAGCTGCCCAATTTGGGTGCTGGGAGTTGAACTTGAGTCTTCCACAAGAGTAATGCATACTCTTAACTGCTGAGCTGTTTCTCCAGCCCTAGTCTGAATTTTTAGACCAGCATTTTCCTGTGTGGTATTGGCCTTTCAAGGTTTACCTGTCCTTTGAGACTTCTCTTAAATTCTTTTTTTCCTAAGATTTATTTTATTTTTAATTTTGTGGGGTGTGTGTGTGTGTGTGTGTGTGTGTGTGTGTGTGTGTGCGCACATAACTGCAGGTACCCAGGGAAGCCAGAGGTATCCAATCCTCCTAGAGCTGGGGTTACAGATGGCGCTGGAAAAACTCAGATCTTTTGCAAGAGCAGTACATGCTCTTGACTGATAGGCCATCTCTCCAGCCTCAAGATCTCTTTTATATTCAAAACAACTTCTATTGTTTTAGGGTAAATAATGCTTTGGGCATCAGTTGATGATATAATTTATAGAAACTGCAAAAAGCTCAGTTAAAAATGGTCACAGACAGCATCTGACCCAGAAACATTTAGAAGAATCACTTTAAAAGCAAAGAAATTTGAACTTGGTGTGTATAGATGTTTGTGTGCGTGTATGAATGCGTGCATGTGGATGTGTGTATAGGTCAGAGGTCAACTGTCTTCTTCAGTCATTCTCTATCTTATTTTTTGAGATTGGGTCTCTTACTGAACCTGGAGCTCATTGATTTAGTTAGATTGGTTGGCCAGCAAGCCCCAGGATCTTCCTGTCTCCAGTTCCCCAGTGCTGGGATTACAGGGATGCACTGCCATGCCTGCTTTTTAACATGGGTACTCAGGATTTGAACTCAGGTTTTCATGCTTGCATGATAAGCACTTTACTGACAGGGCCATCAACTCAACCCAAGGCATTTATTATTACATCAACATCATAACCACCTGAATAAACAGACTGATTCAAATTAAGTTTTTAAGTGTGGGCCTGAACTTGGAAGATACTAGTTCCCTTAGCTATCTATTAGCACTGTCTGTTTCCCAGAACTGTGTGATGGATCTCTCTTGTCCTCTCAACCTGTGTAGATGGAACAGTCTCTGGAATTCTGTTTCTCCCCACAATTTATTCTAAATGGTTTTTCCAGCTTCATTGGAGAAGTACAGGTTCAAGTTTGGCTCCACTCTTAATCCTCACAGAGCATCTTTTCATCCCTAGTTCACATTCATCCAAGGTCACACATCCTTCCCAACTGCCAGTTTCCAATGGGTGGGTTCACTCCTTGTAGCACTTTGATATGTTAATTCTCAAGCATACCCACATTCATTCATTTTCCAGTGCCTGGTTTTGCTGGGGTTAATTAAACATCATTAGTCTAGATTATGTCCATTAGTAAAAGTCATTCCTATATGACTGTCTTTGAAGAACAAATAAAGAATACCTTTACAAGTTCCACAGCTCCAGAGGCAAAATCACAGCAATAAAGAAAGGATCCCGGAATGTTCCTATGCAAACAGGAGATTTAAATCTAGAGTCAGATATGCTCAAACTAGAATAGAAAGGAAACTAGGTTTGACCGGTTGGTAGGTATTTCTTTAGGGAATTTTGGATTATACTGGCTTGTCATTTCTTCTAGTTAGATACTGTTTCCTGTCCTGGAACAGGGATGCTTTTGTATTGCTTCTGAACCAGCACTGTCTCAAACACTTATTAGCACAGGGTAGCTGAAACTCATGACCTGGGTTAAGGGCCCCATGACTTGGCCCTCTCGGCCTTATTTCTCACCATACTCCTGTGTGGGAATTCTCTAAGGCCATCCTCCTGTACTATTCCTTCTTCCTCCTTCTCCACCTTGCCTAGCATGTCCTGCAGCTCACCTTAGCTTAGCCCAGCTCTACCTTCTCCAAGAATCCTCAGAACCCATTTGTCTTTTAAGCCTCTCCCAACAGAGGTTCTGAGGTCCTGATGGGGCAGAAATGCATCTACTTTGAAAGATCATCCCCTAGAGGGTTCTTAGTCTCATTCATAAGAGAATTTAAGAATGGACCAAAGAGAAGATTTAGGACAATTTTATCAGAATTTTGAGGAACACCCTCAGGGCAGGTGAGCTGGTAATCTAGCTGTCTTGAGGAGGAGTCTGGAGGGGAGGAGGAAAAAAAGCCATGAAGCCATGCAAGTTCAGAGGCTAAAGGAAAGCATGTGTCATTGGCCATGTTTCCTACCACGGTGGCAGCATGACCTCTGAGACAGAATTCCCACTGCATCAGCATCCCAAGTCTTGTGACCAAATGACTTTCCAAAGTCTTTCTGTAAAGTCAGCTGACTGCCTTGGCTCTTCTCCCAGCATGCGGGTGTACAATATCACTACTACCATCACACCAGCAGGCACTGTCTTGGCAGGGGGGGTTAAGAATTAAATGATCCTTGGAGAATAATCTGACCTCTCAATTCCAATGGTCTAATTATGATAAAATATTCTGAAAATGTAAAACATTAATCCTGTGCTCTCTAAAGGAAATAAAACATAATTTCTTGGGGGGGGCGTTTAATCCTCCCTTTGGAAGGCTGATCACCAGTTGACTTTTAAAGATGAATTAATTACCCAAGGTTATTAAACTACCATGGTTTCTAAAATAATGGTTAGAAAGCAAAGAAGGATATAACCAAGAAGAAACAGTCAGAAGAGAGAAACCAAAAGATGTGTGTAATCCTATACACCTATAATCCCAATACTTGGGACATATAGACAGAAGAACCTCAAGTTTGAGGCTAGCCTGATCTACATAGTGAGACCTTGTTGGAGGAGGAGGGGGATCAGGAAAAGGCAGGAACAAGAACTTGCCATTATTAGTTAGAAGAAATCAGAGATTAAATAAACAGTACACATTGAACTCTGACAATACTGTACAGTTAGGCAACCTGGAATATAAAAAGAAATTAAAAATGACTTGTTTAATAATACTTTGAGATCAGTCATAAATAAAACATAATTGATTGCTAGTGTAGGATACATATATGTATTAGAATTTCAGGTATCATTGAGGTGAAGGAATCTGGTTATGTGATGCGAAGGAACAGAAAATTTCATCTCAGAAACTAGAAAAGGACAAAGATAATAAACACAAAAAGAGAAAGGCCATTCAGAACTGTACATTTACCAGCATCACCCTTGCCTGCTACTTTAATTAGTCATGAGATAATACTAGGGAACTACTGTTACATTGGGTTTATAATAGCATTGGAGAATATCTGACTTTTTGAAGATGCATACTGAATAAAATAAGTGTCATGGTGTTGACATGTTCATAATTGTTGAGTTAAGGTGGTGTGGGTTTATGGAAATTCATTGTACCACTCTTTGCTTTCCCAAAAGGTTTTACATTTTCATTATTAAAAGTTTAGAAGATCACATTGTTAAATTTAAAAATATGTATGCAGAATGAAAATTTGCACCAGTGGCTATGTTAGGATGATGGGTGATCCCCCACCTTCCTCCTACAGAAATGTTCTGCAATGTGCTTATGCTAATTTTAATGGAAAATGATGCAAAGGGAATTGTGTAAACTTAAAAAATGAAAAAGGAAAGAAAGAACCCTAGAGACTAGCATAGGTAAGGGTATCTGGAGAGTTGTGGTAGGTGTTATCTTCATCACGGAAATACTAATCACAAAGGTGAGAAGACTGGTGAACAGGAAGGGCGTGTCAGGAGAACATCTGTGTAACCCACATCTACTCCTGCTTTTCTGAGGCTTAGGGTTAGCGGCTAGCACTTTAAACAACTTCAAGTCTAGGCACAGCGATCCAACATGCAAGTTCTGGGTGTTGCTCCAGAAATGCTGACAAAATCAGACAAGGAGGGAGGTGTATACTTTGAACTCAGTTCTCTGTGTAAGCCACCACTGGGTATCCAGGAGGAACAAATGGTGTCTAACACTGAGCGAAGTGGAAGGATGGACTCTCTTGCTCTTGTTCTGTCTTCCACATAAACCCATGGCCGTGAAGCACCTTTCTCCAAATAATCCCCAGTTCATGTTACATTAGTTACAGAACATCTTTTGAAATTTGCTTTAGTCATTGTTTATAAGGGAATTAAGAACACTCCTAGCAAACGCACAATGACATATTTCCTGAGTTTTTCAACATCACATAAATATGTAAAATTCTGTATAAGAAAACATTCAAAACTCACTGCAAGGTGTTCAGTATAGGAAAAACACTATTTCCAGCACCGCAGCCAACCTAAAATCAAAAGAACAAACAAACATGAATGCTTTACATTTTCTTCACAATATCAGATCTTCTATTTAAAAAAAAAAAGTTCACTGGATCTCTGGGTATGGCAGAACTTTCGAAATTCAAAGCTAGATGAAATAAATCACAAGAATAACAAAATTTGACTATGGAAACATTTAAAATTTTGTATCCACCAAAGCCTTACCAACAATATCAAATCAATAGTTGACCAACACATTGCAGTGCTAGCAACAAATCTTTTGCAGTAAATATGACCAAGGGTAAGCCTTACTAAAACAAAGACAAGCAAAGGAAAGGAATGGGTAGAATACAAAAGTACAAATGACATCTCAATGCTTGAAGAACTCTGTGACCTACTGAGTAATGAAAACAGTATAAACTAAAACAAGGTAAGAAGTGCCTGGTAGCACAGGCCTGTGATCTCAGCTACTCAGAAACCTGGGTAACTTAATAAGACTCTATCTCAAAATAAAAGCAAAAAGTGAGACGAGTATGCAGCTTAGTGGTAGGGCACTTGCCTTGCATGTGCGAAGCCCTAGGTTGAAACCACAGCACCGCAAAACAAACAAATGAAAAACAAGATTTAATTTTTGTTTAATAAAATAGAAAAGTAGAAAACTTAACTAAATAAGAAGTGTATGGTGAAGTAGATGTATACTGCTATGAAACTGGCATTAACGGAACTTTTTTTTTTTTTTTTTTTTTTTTTTTAAGGCAGGATCTCACTGGGCTGGAAAGATGGTTCAGCATTAAGGGCACTGGCTGTTCTGGTAGAAGACCTGGTTCGAATCCCAGTACTCACATGGCAGCTAACAATGGTCCATAATTCTAGTTCTAGGGGATCCAATGCCTTCTGTCCTCCTCGGGCATTGCACGACACTGGTGCACTTACACACATGCAGGCATAACACTCATACACATAAAATAAAAACAAATTAAAAAAAAGACAGGATCTCACAATACAGGTCTGGCTGGCTTCACTTAGAACTTGCAATGTAGATGAGGCTGGTCTTGAACTTCTGGTGATATTTCTGTCCCTGGCCCAGGAATGCTGGGATTGCAGGCATGTGCCACCACACCTGGTAGTATTAATTAGTATAGCTTCTTTTTTAAAAATTTATTTTTATTTTACTTATATGAGTGTATTGCTTGTATGTGTGTAAGCACACCTGTGTCATATATTGTCTGCAGAGGTTGGAAGAGAATGTCAGATCCCCTGGAACTGGAGTTATGGACAGTTGTTAGCTGCCATGTGGGTGCTGGGAATTAAACCCTGGATCTCTACAAGAGCAATCAGTGCTCTTAACCCTTGAGCCATCTCTCCAGCCCCCAACATAGCTTCTTAGAAAGCAATTTTGGAAACAGGTTTTAAGAGTTCTAAAAATTGGGGCCTGGAGAGATGGCTCAATGGTTAAGAACATTGACTGTTCTTGCAGAAGACCAGGGTTTGAATCCCAGCACCCACATGGCAGCTAACAACTGTCCGTAACTCCAGTGCCAGGGGATCTGACAGCCTCTTCTGTCTTCCGTGGGCACTGCATGACATGGGTGCACTTATCTACACGCAGGCAATACATGCATACATACACATTAAAAAAAAGAGTTCCAAAAATGTCCATACATTATAAACTAGTAAATATAACCCGTTGATTAAAAAAAATATACAGGTAAGGTCTATACCCAAATACATTTGCTAAGAAAATAAACCTGAAAACAATTAAAATGCCAAATAGTATAATAATAGATAAGTAAAATTATAGTAAAATATTTTACAGCTATGAAAATGTATATAGAGAACACAGAAAAAGCAGGGAAAACTGCTTATGATATAATATTAAATAGAACAAACCAAAACCTTAAAACACATACACAATATAAACAAAATCAGAAAAAAGACAGTAAAAGGTTAACGGTGGTTAAATAATTTGTTTGTGGGACTGTGGGCAATTTTATTTTTCTTATCTTCTCTTTAGCAAATTCTCTGTAATCAACATATACTACCTTTATAATCAGAAAGATGGGGTTTAGTTTCAAAAATAGAAAACCAATGTCTACACTATATTATAGCAAATTATATATCTCACTTATTCCTATTTCACCTAAAAAGGGGGTAACAACAAAGAGCAAAAATTAAGACCAAAACTTTTTTTTCTTTTTTTGTCTTTTTGAGACAGGGTCTCCTTGTAGCCCCAGCTATCCTGGAACTCACTATGTAAACCAGGCTGGCCTCGAACTCACAAAGATCTGCCTGCCTCTGCTTCCCAAGTGCTGAGATTAAAGGCATGTGCCACCACACAAGGGCCAAGACCAAAACTTTATCAGGACTTAAAAACTCCCTCTAAGTTAGAAATTAAAACAAGAAAGCAACACAAATGACATTAAAGCCACAGACTTAAAAACATGATTGATTAAAGATACGAGTCCCTTAAATATTGTTCATGCATACACATATACTGAGCATTTAATTAGATTTGGTCATTTTCCATCTAGACACTCTCTACAATTCACGAAATTCTGTCACTTCCTGTCTTGTTCCCTGAACACGGTACCTCTAGTATTCGGAAAGTGGCACTGCTACCAGGAAAGTGCTCAATTGTCCCAGGTCCTTTTCTGTGCTCTTCCAAGCCTGGGTTGGAAAAATCAGATCTTGCTTTGCTTTGGCCATCTGGTAAGTCAGAACTTTCTTTACAATGGGTTTCTGTTTCTTGAATTCTTGAATCTGGAGCACTAGTCTTGCCATGATCCCAGGATGAATCTCCTGCTTTTTCTTTAGTTTTTTGATTAGCTGGAAGAATTTCAGGAAATTCCCTCAATAGCCAATTACGATTTTTGAAAAAATTATTCTTATGAATTTTGTAAAATGTGTCCCAGTATTTGTTAGCATCACTTTCAAGCTTAACTGAAATAAAGAGAAAAAAGATTGATTTTACTATGAATTATATTCAATATTGGCTACTATTTTGATAACTAAACACATTTGATAATTAAATATTAAATAAAAAATATTAAAAGCATATTACATATATTATTTATCAACAATTAAATTTCATGTTTAATAACAACACTTTAGTGTTGCTATAATAATTTTACTTATTTGGTAAATGATTAAAAATATATAGGTTTAAGCCAGGCATGGTGGCGCATGCCTTTAATCCCAGCACTTGGGAGGCAGAGACAGGCAGATCTCTGTGAGTTGAAGGCCAGCCTGGTCTACATACTGAGTTCCAGGACAGCTGGGGCTACAGGGAGACCCTGTCTCAAAAAGACCAAAAAAACAAAAACAAAAACAAAAAACATAGGTTTAAAGCTGGGCATGGTGGCGCACGCCTTTAATCCCAGCACTTGGGAGGCAGAGGCAGATCTCTGTGAGTTAGAGGACAGCCTGGTCTCCATAGCAAATCCAGGACAGCTGTGGCTACAAAAAGACCAAAACCAGTAACAACAACAACAACAACAACAACAACAACAAAAACTCCACAAAAACCATAGGTTTATTTAATTCCCTTAAAACAAATCAATGTGCAAGACATTTAGTCTTATTCTTAAAAATCTTTCTTTTCTCTTAATAGGTTGGCCAATCAATTTTGTGAAGAATGTAAACATTATGAACTATTTTCTACAGTTTAATTTTGGAATCTTAACAACCATTTTTTAAATCAATGATTTACATGGCTTTTTATTATCTTAGAGAAGGTACATATTGGGCTGGAGAGATGGCTCAGCAGTTAAGAGCACTAGCTGCTCTTTCAGAAGACCCAGGTTCAATTCCCAGAACTCACAAGGCAGCTAACAACTGGCCATAACTCCAGTTCCAGGGGCTCTGACACCCTCTTCTGATGCCCTCTTCTGCAGGCACTGTATACGCAAGAGGTACTTATATTTATGCAAGAAAAACACTCAGATACAGAAAATTAAAAAACCCCAAACCCCTAAAACTCTCCTGGGGGCTTTCCTAGACCCACCTAGGTATACTCCCTTTCCCATACCTCCTTGCACAGGCTATTTCTTCTCTTTTAGGACCATTGTGGACTTCCAGATCCCAGAGCTTTCCCAGACTTGCCTTGATAAATTTCCTTTTCCCCACCTCCCTGGGCTTCAACATACCCATCTCAGCTCTCCCAGGTCACTTGTGTACTACTGGGAGCTGTTCCAAATCTGCCTTGCATTCAGACCTGTTTGGGTTACTAAGATCCTTCTGCCCCAAGACATGTGAGCTCTCCCAGCCTGACCTATCTGTCAAGCTGTTCACCTCAACCACCTATGCCACACTGCTGTTCCAGAACCCTGAGGAGTCCAGTCTGAAACTTAAACTCAAAAGTTGTACCTATCCTTAGCATAACTGAGGCCACTTCTTACAACCCATTTGCACATCAACATAAAGTGGCCCCAAAACTAAACACCAAGTAGTACTCCACTGGGCCATAACCTGACAAGTTGGGGAAACAGCAAACACAGATACAAATAACCATTCAACAAAGATGACATCACCTATCCATACCAGGAAACCAATGGCAAACCAATGACACTAGTCCAGATGCCTAGGTCTCATCAAAAAAAAAAAAAAAAAAAAAAAAAAAACCTCAAACAACATGAATAACCCAGATAATATGTCTACTACAGAAATTAGCTTCTTCATCATAATGCTTCCTGAGAATGGCAAACTAGCAGATACATAAGACGATGACTTCAAGATAGCAACTATAAATATGCTGAAGGAGCTCACCAAGGATATGACTAAAAGATTGAATGAAGACTGAAATTACAAACAATTGAAAAACTAAAACAATTCAAAACATGAAATTGGAATTCAATAAAGACACAATCTCTGAAGAAAAGGCAAACTGAAATAAAACTTGAAATAAGAAACTCAGAAATTTAAACAAAAAACCTAGAGGAAAGAAATAAAAAGGAAATGGAATAAAGAATATCAAATAAATCAAATAAACTAGGTGTGGTAACACGTCTGTAATCTTAGTATTTGTGAGGAGGAGGTAGGACACAAGCTCAAGGCCAGCATAGTCTACATGAAACCTTGTCTCAAAAAACAAATGCAAACCAAATAAATGAATGAATAAGTTAATTAAATAAAATAATCTACTCCCTTCATATTCATCCAACAACCATTTTCTTGACTCCAATTATATAACAAGGTTAATCCCTAGGCTTAATCCATGGATTAAGAATTAACTTCACCCAATAGACAGAGTCATGATATTCTAAAAGTTCTTTCAAAGACTGCAAAAGCTTATAAATGATAATTTCTAAGATTTAGTGCTGCAGGAAAAGCAAGGTACAGGACAGTATGTATATTATACAACCATTCATTACACAGTAAGAGGAAGAGGAAAAGGAAGAAGAGGAGGAAAACTCTATGTGTGTACATACACACACACAGGCATGTAAGTATATGTATATAAATACTTATTTGCATCTATAAAATATCACCAGGCATGGTGGCCTGTGCCTATAAGTCCAGCACTGAGAAGAGTGAGGCAGGAAAACTGACATGAGTTTGAGGCCAGCCTGGGCTACAGATTGGAACCCTGCCTCAAAAAATCAAGTAAGCAAGCAAGCACTAAAACCACTAACAAAAACAGAAACAAAACAAAACAAAGAAAGTTCTGGTGGTTTGAAGGAGAATTTTCATTTAATTTTGATGCATGTGAATTCACTATCTATTTCTGAAATAAGCTAAACCACAAATAAAAAAGAACTTCTTTCCTCCCTAGTTTTAAAGAGGCCTCAACCTTTGCACTGGCAGCTGTTGCAGTCAGGCTCACCTTTGCTTTAGAGCCCTGTTCTGAAGCCCTCATAGTTTTCGTTCTTTCCATTTTATCTTTCTGGCCTTATATCATGGATCTCTACCCATCTAGCCACATACTTCTTCCCACAGGCTGGGTCCTGTCTGGCAGCCGAACTGCTGTAAAGACAAAAATTCTATCTGCATTTAAGGACTGAGAAATGCCAGCAGCTCTCTATGACTGCTACAGTACTGAATGCTAAGTCCAAAACATGCTCAGATTTGCACCAATGAAGGAAGTTTATGGTTAATATTCATCTTGAAAATAGGGCTATATCTACTTTTTTTTTTTTTTGGTCTTTTTGAGATAGCATCTCCTGGTAGCACCAGTTGGCCTGGAACTCGGTATGTAGACCAGGATGGCCTTGAACTCACAGAGATCCACTTGCCTCTGCCTCCCGAGTGCTGGGACTAAAGGCGTGTGCCACCATGCCGGCTATATCCACTTTTAACAACTGGAGTGTACCTGTATACTGTGAAAGAAAACAAAACAACATTCTGACAATTAGACTCAGGAGAAATGAGAAAACTTCCAAATTTCTCAAGGTTCTTTTTGAGACTTCTTTTTTCCTTCACCTTAAAAACTCTTTGCACTGGCTGTGGTGGCGCATGTCTTTAGTTCCAGGATTCAGAAGGCAGAAGCTGGTGGATTTCTGTGAGATCAAGGCCAGTCTGGTCTACATAGCAAGTTTTTTTTTTTTTTTTTTTTTTTTTTTTTTTTTTTTTAAAAAAAAAAAAAAAAAAAAAAAAAAAGAGGACGATAAATCTTTCACTGTGATATATTTTGTTCTTGAACTCACAGAGATCTGCCTGTCTTTGCCTCCAAGTGCTGGGACTAAAGGCATATGCCACCAATCCCAGTGCCTTGAGAGTATTCTTAAAGACAATCACATTCTACCACTATTCTGCATTTTCAAGGCAGTTTAAAAGAATTTCTCACTCAAAAATTGGGAGGGAAAAATTCAAAGTTAGATAAATCATTACGCCAATAATAGCAGTGTTGAAAATAAAAAAAGTAACATACATTGGTGTTTGTGATGTTTCAGGCATTATGTCAAATGTCTTCTTGGACTTTTTTCCCCATTTAATCCTAATAGTATTATTATCTAGTGTGCTGCTTATTGACCTAGCTGAATTTCTACACTGCCCTAATCTTGTTTATCTTTAGGAACAGGATAGTTAAAGGTCAGAAGTTCCTTTTAGGGTGGGCTATCCAAAACCAATTGGCACCCAGAGGGCTGACAGGGTGACTTCTGGGCCACCGCTAACTTCACTGTGACCTAATTTCCATACTAAGTGGCACACCTACCAGTTGCTGTAACAAAAAGCACCGGATCATAAGAGGAGTGAAAAGGGATGGTGCCTGAGAGCTGAGAAATCTCTGCTCATTCCAAGAAAAGACATGAATATTCTTCCCTATATCAGCCTCTCTTCCTTCTTTTAGTGTGTGTTAACTGCATAAAATGAATTTCATTGTGACTTCATACATGTACATGATTGCAGTTTGACTGTATTCACTCTTATCACCGTTTCTTAGCCTTTTCCCTGGTCCTCTTCTTCGCTCCTTCCTTTCATTTATTCCCTATATATAACACCCTCACCCCATGGGATGAGATTTGTGAGCCAAAGACTCCCACTTTCCTACTTGTCCATTTTTTGGCCATTAAAGGAACTTGGGCTGTTCATAGTCAGCTTAATTTTTACCTTCCGGCTCTGCCACACCAAATTAAAAAAAAAAAAAGACACCTTTGGGGGGTGGTCTCTCCCTACCATGAGGGGAGCCAACAAATTGTATCTCCAATTTATAGACAAAGGAATTCAATGTCATATGACATAAAATTTTTTCCCAAGGTCACCCATCCAGAAAGACTTGGACTTTGTCTGACTGTCCATGGTTCTTAATCATTGCATAGCACTGTCTTCCTAATATAAAGCCAACATGAACTCCCTCCAAAATATCTTTCAAGATAATCTGCTTTTCTGATTCTTACTTTCCTCTCAGTTATGAAGCATCAAGTTGAAATTAAAACTTCAATGTGAGTTACAATCAGTATAAGTAAATTGTAAAAATAATGCTGACTGGAGTTAACCTTTATTAA